AATTCTTTCCGTGTATTTTTGAATAGCCATCGCAATGGTGTTATTTTCACACGTGAAAATAACATGTTATTTTCACGTGTGAAGATATCAATTTTTCGAAATAGAGAAAAATAGATATTTCATTGGTAATTATATAATAAATATAAATATTTCACCGATAATCACTTCGCCTATAGTTGAATATCATCCACCGTGTCTTTTGTTATTTCAGTCCCTTGAGAATGATTGAAAACCAGAAAATAATCATGTAATTATTTTTTACCTTCATTAAATATTCACGAATTTCAAAAAATGTTAATTTTCGCGTCCTAGTTTGCATGTAGTGTGGTCTTGTCTATAAACACTAAATTAATATTTCAAAGTTGCAAACCGATGCCGATTTGACTTTGTGAAGCAAAATTCGAATGTGAAGATTCAGGGAAGGCCTTTAAAATGCATTATTCTGTTTATATAACTCAAGTATATAATATCTATACACCAATGTTAGCGATCAAATTATTCTGATTATCATACCCCTATTATTTATCAGTACCTTTCATTTTCTTGTACGTTAGGGTTTTAGTCCTGAGACTCGTAAAAACAGTGATTGGCTGAGGTATGTATGGTAGTTTTTGAAGATGGATAATCTTAGGGTTTTTTTAAATAAAATTCTTCGAATACTTTCAAGCAGGTGAACATTGCCACCTCTCCAACACAATGTCCAATCATTCTAACTTCCTTCTCTTCCTAGAAAGTTTCGTATGAATGCCTCTATTTATAAATCATTAAGTTTGGTGGTTTTCTAGTCATTACTTAAAAATATATACTACCACATAAATTAGATACCTGATAAGCATGGAACATCCGTGTTTGCTGTGACTTCGAACATACTGTTGTGTTTTTAAAGATTTTCCTGAAGCCAACATCGAACTCGTCTACGTTCAAGTTCAAGGACAATAGGTTGAGTTTTGTTTCTTGCAGGACTTGGAATCAGTCGTATTTGATAGATGACAAATATATATTTATGTTATTATGTTTTCTTAGTTAGCTGTATTAATTCACGATCGGTTACTAACGAGCGAGCGTCTTTTACCTCTTTAGCATCCCAGGCCAAGTCGCCTTTCAGTATATGCAATACGTATATTTACCGTTGTGCTATCAGTTACGTGTAAAGTGTAACGGATGACGTCGGATTGCGTTATTTCCTTCCTAAAAGTTGACCTTGAATATGTTAGACTTCAAACCATGTATCCGTGGAATAATAGCACAAAACCTAAATAGCACTATATAATTTTATTTCACTTGTTTTCGATTGTTTCATTGGTGCTATGTCGTACTAATTAGTTACTACCATTTCCGAATATGATTTGCACTCTATCTTAAGCTAGGGAGAACTTTATTTGCTAACAAAAAACTACTGCTATAAAAACAAAAAACTACTGCTATAAAAACAAAATATAATAAGTCTGTCTGATTGTATGATGGTGAAGGTCATTTTGCATTTCGAAAGTCGGACTATTGTACAATCAAATTATGCCTCGATTGCTAATTTCTAATATTCGAATAGTCTCTAACTCAGCTTTTACTGCTGTCCGAACAGAGGCTGTCAGTATATGCCGAAGACCAAGGCGGCTTTTCAGCGTAATCAAGCTACGACTGCTTATTTTTATTGCAAATTTCGAATCAGTAACTTACTTTCACGTGTTACATCGCTTTCAGGCTACTATTTCCTGGCTTAGTTCGATCCATTTGGGTTCGACTTCGTTTTCGCCACGTTATCGCAACTGAAACTCAGCTGAAGACCGCATGAAAGTAATACAAGTCATATATTACTCGTAAAACATATATAGGGAACCTTTAAGCCCAACTAGATTTCCCACCATGTTTCATTTAAATTTTCTCGGTCGAAATACGTCATCGAATGAGTGCTTCCTAGAAGTGATTGATGTCATGTGATCATGTTCCGAGAACAACGAAATCGAATCTCTCACTTGACTCTGGTGATGATATTTTTGAAGAATAATTATAAAGGTTGGATGTTTATATGTAAAGGGATAAATCACTAATCAAGAGGAATTTATTCATTGTTCAAGAACCAGGACTAAGTAAGTGTTATAAATAGAACATATTCTAACCATCTCATCTTCTCATCTTCATATTCTAACCAGTTGAAACCGGTTTAGCAATGTTTTGCCTGATTCGTAGAAAGAACTCGAGTCGGGCACTACATGGAACTACTGTTAACCAAATATATCGGTAACCACGGTACCTATGAACGGATGAAACTATGAAAGTATACTATAACGATTTATTTGATTGACAGTAGTCTTGTTTGATTTCTCTGTCTCGACTGATGTCCCGATCACCGTGTAGCAGTAAAACAATCGTCCAGGCGTTCATCACTTGATACCAACGACAACATATAGATTACCTACTATGTTTTGGATCGTACAGTCTCTTAAAAAAAGCTTCCATGTTTTCTGACTCGATGCCCCCCAATTACGTTCGTTGTTCGCTTGTGACTTACAACGTTCGTATGCATGTATCTTCACTATGTTTCAGTCTTTCCGATCTTCAATTATCGTGTATGTCACTCTGCTCTCCATTGTTTCTGGTAAAGACGCAGTAATCGGACAATAAATTTATAGAATGGAACCCTTTACTCGAAAAAGACTGTTAGATCATCAGTAAAATCTAGTTCACTGATATTCTAGATGAWTATTTTTTTCTAAATAGTCGAGTCGTAGGAACGCGGGAATTCAATTCGATTCGAAGGGGATCAAACCGGTTGTCCTTGGGCTAGACTCTTCGATAGTAATTATGCTTGATTTCTAAAGYACTTTTTCGTCTGGTTCTAGAGTAGACGACAACATTCTCAACCGAAAAATGATTTATC